CCCCAAAACCCCAAAACCCCAAAACCCCAAAACCCCGGATTATTTACAATGAGTTGAAGTAGTATTTGAAAAGAATTAACCCAAAATAGATTGGGCTATTTTCACTAAAGTCTTGGCTACCTTTCAAGCATTAGGCAGCATCCAGACCTTAAGGATTTACTCTTCTTTTGTAAGATTCTCAGGCACACTTTTAGAAAAAGAAATTTTGATGTACCTGCCCTCAATATTGTAGTTATGGAATGCAATAATGACTTCTATAGCTGTGCTAATGGAGTCAAACTCTGCATGAGCCATTGTCTTCCCTCCAACATCGAAAAATTTGATTTTCTCAAAAGCAGCAACTGATAAAAATACACTCTGAAGCTTCTCTTCACCTATTCCTTTTGGCAAATTAGAGAGATGGAGCACTTTTGAAGGTGGAGCGATGTTTTGGAAGTTTCTGCTTCCAGCTATCTTATATCTATGCTCTTTAGAACGGGAGAAATCTTGGGCCAGCATCCTTTCCTCTGACTCCATCTTAGTCCCCTTCTTAGGCATAATGATAAAGCTTGACTTAGAAGTATTGACTTTGATAGCCCCATCTCCAAACATGCATCCGTTCAAGTACAACTTGGCAAGTTTAGCTTGGTAGCTATCCATGAACTGTATTAAAGCTGTGTCTCTCTTTTTAAACATTATCTTGATCCTGGTAACATTTCCATACAAGGAGAAAAGCCTGAAAATCTTGTATGGGGTAACATCTAGAGGGAATCCTGAAGCAATTAGAATGTTAGAATCCTTCTTTCTTCCTCCCAAATTAGGGTTACTCTTCTCAGAGGCAACTTCGTTGTCCTGTTCGTCTAAGGCAGCAGGGTATACTTTTTGCTTAGGCTTGTAATCATACCCATAGCCTTGATAATGCTGAGGAGGATGGTATTGTCTCTGAACACCTTCATATTCCTGATCATATTGGTAATATCCTTGGAAATATGAGAAATATGATGGGCTCTCTATATTTATTATAAGACATTCATGAGCATAACTTCTTCACAAATATTTGGTGAATATTAGCATCAAACTATTGACGAACCTTGAATTAACTTGAGGAAACTCTCAAATATAGAAAAGGGAGAAATTGGTGTGTTCAGGCAGAAATCTTACCATTGAAGGGAGGACTCATACCAGAGTAGCCAGGTTGGAATGCGGGATAATTCTCCTCTGCCTTTGCAAACTCATGATAATTTCCTTTGAATGACTCGTTATTATTAAAATTTTGGTAATTATAATCCGGGCTTTGAACACTATTAAATTGGTATGAGTTATCAGACCATGGATTGTTCGGAAATTTCTGAGTTTCTTGATGGCCATTCCCCGAAGGATTTGGATCATCGTCATAGGACGATCGAGAAAAGTGTGCTTCAGAAAACAGCTGTTGTTTATCAGGTCTTGCTACAAAATCTCTAGCACACTCTGAATTTGGATGCTGAATCCACGATGAATGTCTTTTAGGATCGATATTAGCATTATTCATCCCTCCATAACTCTTACTAGAGGATGTTATTCCTTTATCAATCATCCCAGGAGATAAGCCCTCTGATAAAATTGGGATTGGTTTTCAAACCTCGCTATTTTTCGTCTCCTCTTGTCCAAAATTTAATTCTACAGAAAAATCTTTAAGCGGATGTTCTTCTTCGCCTTCACTATTTTCAGGAGAATCCAAAATATCCAGGAATCTGGAGGCTTGATAGCCTTGTGAGTCTTTCCGCGGGTTAAAATTCGGCTCATTTATTTGTAAACTTCCCATATGCTCAGTGTTGTTAAAACAGTCCATTTTCCCTATCAAAATTTAATAAAATATGACTCAAATATTCCTAGCCTCAATGGGGTTTTGGGGTTTTGGGGTTTTGGGGTTTTGGGGTTTTGGGG